TTTGGTTTACCAAAGAAGACTTTTACAGAATTTGACAATCTGTCACCTGTGACCTTGAATATGGTTCAAGGTCATTTCGTTTTAGCAAACTTTGTTGGGCTATATCCCAGCAAACCACTGGTCAAATACCATGACATTTGGTATGTTGGTTATTAAGAAGTCATCGCTTAAATTGAAAAGTTGATGACAAATGGACAGATGGACCCCAGGACAGACGGACAGATAGACGGACGCTTTACATTGCACCAAAACATAAAACTCAATTGGCCCTTTGGGCCAGGTGAGCTTATAATCAATGATCAAAATTTCATCTAGGCAGATAGGTAAATGAAAAACAAAATTTTACATCTGGCCTAACCACAGTATAAAGGAAATGACAGTATTTATGTGTGTCACATTCTTAAGTAATGAGGATTCCAGCAAATGCTACATTTTCCAGATTTCTCATGCAATATCATGAGGTGTATATGTAACCTTTCATATATAGTTATGCAGGGTCATTCTTGTATTCATTAAGGTAACAAATTTCAGTGATGGAGCATATCTTCTGGTGTGTGAAGTTGAAATACTTGATCTACAAATATATTAATAACTCAGTGTAATTTTACCCAGGAAGTTAGTAAATGGTAGAGTGTGCTGAGTATATTAAGGTCCATCTAAACGAGCTACATGCCTACATTACTGGTGCAAGTATAATCTATGTAGCATTTCAAATAAAGAAAAGTTAGGAAAACTATTTTCAAACTGACTGATGGAAGAGACCATCTTATCTTTCAGTATTAAATCATGTCAAAGTTGGCCTTATTTATGATCATGAATGATTCAGTAAAGTCACCTAACTATATAAATAAATGGATAAACAGCAGATCAAATCCATTTTTACATGCCTTTATAAGGCTTGTGTACAAAAAAGGAAGGGATTCTCAAGTTATCAAACAAAGTATTCTCAAACCAAGGTAACAACATCAAATGACAAGATCATGTTTATCATATTTTTCATATTTTACAATATCAGGCCCCAATTGTATAAAACATCTCAACTTGAGATTTCCTCAAGCCCAGATTTTCCTCAACTAATATCTCCTTGAAAATATCTTGTATGAAAATTCCTCAAGGAATTTCAGGACATCCTCGCCGATGCCTTCCTCCTGTTCCTTGAGAAAATTTTATACAAGCTGTTTTTGAGGAGATATCATCTGAGGAAAATCTCGATTTGAGGAAATCTCAAGTTGAGATGTTTTATACAAGTGGGGCCAGGAAACACAAGTTCATTACATATGAAATATTCAATTACTTTTTCTTTTCTGGTTTAGAAAAGCCCACTTCATCAAGAAGAGGTCCACGAAACCTGAGTGTTATAAATTGAAGTATCTATGAGACTTGAGTGTTGAAAAGCTTCTATGAGATCAGGGTGTTACAAAAGAATCTATGAGAACCAGGTGTTGTAAAATTCTGTGAGACAAGAGTGTTGTCAAGTGTGTATGTAAAAATTCTTCCGGCAGTAATATCATTATAACCCTTGTATGTTTGATCTAACAATAGAATCTATCATATGTAGGTATGCAGGATATGGCTAACAGTGAGGTGGAATTTGGCTCAGAATCAAGACTATGAAGAGGTGATGAACCCTAACTCTCCATCAACATGTAGAATATCTATCATTACACCTACTTCTTTGCTTGGCTATTTTCCTCCTACCTTTCACATAAACACAATGTTGATCATGAAAATGCAATGCCATATTTGGAAAGAAAAGAAAAAAAGTATGGTATTGTATATATACCACAGTATATATCAAATATAAAAAACATTGCAATGACTTTGTAATGAGATTGATTGATAATTATATATGTTCATGAGTCAGTACCCAATGACAGGAACGCAATGAGCAGGCATGCAATGCTTTGCAGCATGTATACTAATGTAAATATCTCACTGTGACATCACAATAGTAAGTAACTGTCATGGAGTTTACCTATGTTGGATTAACAGAATCTTCATTCCTGTAGAGTTGTAAAAAGGGGATCTCAACCCCAAGGGAAAGACAATTAAGTCTACGAGGCTTACTGAGTGTTAGAAACTTTCTAGACAGGCAAATCTATGCTTTTTCCCCGATGCAAGATTTCCTTGTCTCGTCCTAGGGTTGAGAGCTTTACAATATGCTCTTTGCATATTCTGAAAACAATTTACTACCGATGAAGGGAAGGTGTGAACGACACACTTACTATAATATTGAACAAAGTATTGATACTATTGTATTGAAGTATTCAAATAATCGAGTCAAGTATACAACGACCTCTGTGATTGGTCGGGGGCGGAGTTTAGACAACCTGAATAGTTGATCTGACACCCAATTTGTTCCGGTAGGCGGAGTTAATGTACACTATCAGTTACATAACAATTACTAAGTAATCGCTGGAAAAATGTCACACACAGTACGCAAAATTTTCTTCGACGAAATTATGTCCGATACGAACGATATGGGGAATCATGTTTTTGTACAAGGCGATGTGGTTGTGATGGATAATTGTGGATTCCATCACCATAGACAGGGAGAGCGCATTTTAAGAAATATGCTGAAAGAATATGGCGTGTCCCTGGTTTTTCAGCCGCCTTATTCCCTGGGATACAACGTAACTGAATATGTATTCAATGTCATAAGACAGAGGCTTCGGGCAAATACCCGACTTGTGTCAGAATTTCTGGAACTTGCAGTAGTAAATGCTCTAGATATTCCGCCCAACCAACTTCAAAGTTTTTTCACATGTTGCGGATATGTATAATTTTCGATAGAAAGATAAAAAATAAAATAAAAAATATATGGGACCACAGAATTCCTTTACTTTTTAATGCAGTATGAATTATCGGCATATATCAGGAGGTCCCAGGTAAATCGTAATTCTTTGTTACATTAATAGAGCTTGGGCTTAAACCTGAGCCAACCCTCCCCCCTTTCAAAAACAAAAAAAAAATAAATAAAACTAGTACAGAATGACTATATGACTATATTCACTGTTAAGATGTTATGAATTCTTGATCTAACCTGTTGATATATATTTTGTACGTAAATTAGTTTAGTACTGAGTAACTTTCGTTTTCTCGTTGTACCATCGATGGAAAAGCAAGGTATCATTGGGTGTAGAACGAAACAAATGGGACAACCCAATTAGGTCTCTGAAGCCACCTGTGACTTGGACTCTTTTAACCTCTCGACAGTCGAGTGTTTGTAAAATGCCGATGTCTGCACAGTGGTTTTTCACCTGGCTCCACCCACAATCGATATAGACTTGGCTCTGCCAATCAGAGAGCTTGTTGCATAAATTATTCGATTGGTGAAGTACTTCAGTACAATACTATCAATACTTTGTTCAGTAATACAGTACTTGAAACGTTCACACCTTCCCTTCATCGGTAGTAAGTGACGTCACTAATGTGACCTGAAAGTGGAACTAATTTTATGAGGTCACACACATACCCTAGTTTGTCTGCAACTGAAATCTTGCATTATCAATAAGAATGAAACTCATCTTCAGGATGTACTCCTCTGATGTTTTGACCCAAAGTAAGACATAATTAAATGGCTGGTGCTGTCAAGCAGCAGTAGACATTTAATTTCTTGGAACACCTGGTCTTATTACTTTTTTCGGAAGTCTCTATCTAAATCATTCTTTTGTTCACATTTTCCCCTAGTTTTATTGAATTTGAGTTCGGATTATGATTATGTTGAAACGTTGGTATTTTTGTTGTTTTTTTTTCAATATAAAGTGAATTCTAACAATTGTCTTTTTATATACATTGTCATCTATAAATGTACTTATAAGCTGACAATGGGCAATTTATGACGTTTCGAAGAAATTTTGTCTGTGGACTACATTTTTTGATGGCACGGTTGACAATGTGATTCAGTTAATAGCATCAACAATAAATCATTTTCTGATTGCTAAGATAATTCTCTTGAGTATCAACCTGGTAGATTTCAACTAAATTTTGCATGCATTATTACCTTAAATCACAAATTTCAAATTTGTGCATTCTGACTTGGTGACCACTTTCCTGGATTTTTAAGACCCAAAAATAACGAAATCAGCTCAGCAAGTCTTGTGTTTGAAAACTTGGGGTGAAATCAATCTCACCATCTCACCAACAAGAGGGATAAATGATGATTCTGCTCTTACCCTTCTGGCCCTCTTAGGTATTTGTTGATGTTGTACCAATGCTTTACATCATTGGCTTTAGGTCATAGCTATAAAAGGGGAATCCCAATCACAACCCTCGGGACAACAAGGACAAATCTCACACCGGTAAAGAGTGTGGATACGCCTGTCCAGTGCAAGAGAAAGAGCTATCCAACATGGGTTTACCTTATGTTATTTCTTGTCATGTAAACTGTTTCTTTGATAAATTTATCATCAAACAACTTTTTCAGTAAAAACCTACAAAAAATTGGTCAAATCCACTTGTCCAAAATTGCCATTACCTTCATTTATTAAAATTACGCTCTTTTGGCCTGGCATGTTTGAAATCAAATTTAGTCAAAATTCATTCATCCATACTTCAGGAGTTAACCTAAAGTGAGGTCACTTTCTGTTACAGTTTAGTCTTACAGTACTTAAAACATCCTGGCCTTATTTAGAGATGCATTATATCATGTCGAAATTCCTTAAAGAGCAATCTAAAGGAAAGTTGGTCGACGATGGACTTACATAAGCACAGCTCATCCCTCCCATATTTTGGCATGGTAAGCCAATTAATCTTAACTGCTTTGTGATATATTGATTGTTTAAACACTGAATTGTGTGGAAATGTTGATCCATTAAAGTGGATGGGAATCACAGTAATTACTCTGCAATATGCCTTTGGGTCAACATATATATTTTAATTAAAAGACAACCCGACATTGCAGGAAAATGAAACAGGATTTCTTGATAATTCTGAAAAGCAATAGAAATGGTAAGGCATACTAAAGACTGGTAATTTGACAAATATGGATTTACACTTACCTGATTGCGTGTGAAAGTTGAACTCTTCTTGATGCCATTGAGTGCAGCTTGCTGTAACTTTGTTTCTGGGTGGGACAACAATGCAACTAAGATCTCTGCATTACCGCCTGATAGAATACCTGGAGAGTTCTGGGATACCAGGATGGCCGTAGCTATATCATCCTGATCGTAACGACCAACCTCCCACACATCTTCTTCCTCGTAACTGTCTGTTACACCATTAGTCTGTCTATCTTCTGATTCTTCACCCTGTTCACTCTCTTTTGACTCTTGATTCTGATCTGAAATAACTTTTTCTGACTCTTGACCCTGTTGTGTATCTGGTGAATCTGGACTAAACGTGCATCCATCATCACTTGTGACTTTATTCTGTTCACTTGGCTGTATCATTGACTCAACACATGCACTCTTACTTACAGTTTCACTTGTAACACACATTTCCTCCTCAGGTTTTGTACAATGTAAGGCATCTTTCTCTTTTTTCTGCTGGTATGTTTCTTTCCTGTCAATTTCTGAATTTGTTAATTTGTCGTCTTCTGTACCATTTTCAGGTTCAGCACGTCCTTCAAAAAACTCTGTCAGGGATTTAGTCATAGCTTCAGCCAGAGGATCAAATCTGACCTTTTGTTTGACCTTAGTTTTTGATGGTTCATTCACAAGCCTACAAATACCATTTTCACAAACATAATTATCAGGAATGTTGCCATCTCCTCCTCCTGACATGTTGTCCTGGACAGCCGAAACTTCATCGATGACTGACTTTTGGGGGAAGGAAGCGTCTCCTGATGCAGAAACTGTTGTATCTTTTGCACCTGTTTGTTTCGCACCAGTAGAGGTTGATGGCTTGGTATTCTCTGGTTTCCCTGTTTGTAAAACAGTCAGACATGTACACAAGTCATTCACTATATCATTAAGATTGTGTTCTGTGATGGATTCAGACCTAGCACTCAAAATTTCACTCCTATACACATGTTTTCTTTGAATAGTGACTGGTGTGATTTTCTTGTCACTCATTTTCCCTACTTTCAATTTTGTGGTTATAATAATTTCTTCCGAATGAGTCCTATTGTGATGGTGACACAGGGTCTGTTTCAGATTTTCCTTCAATTTCTTCCTCATTGTTTCTCGACCATCCTTTTCAGAACTGAACTTCATGGTAACCACAGATGAGCTGCTGTCTGAAGTAGATTTAACTTCAGCTTCTGGTTCCATAAACAAAAATTCATTTTAGTCTGTCTCTTTTGAAATTTAACATAAAAACTAAATTCACTTTTTTATCTCTAGCTAGAAAACATACAGCACAAACCGACTAGTATTAACTATCAAACATCAAATTGTGCAGCATCCATTCACATGGTTAAGCAATCTGTTTGACACATGTAAACCTTGTTCAACTAGAAAATCACACCAGCAATGCAATGCTAATTTCTACCTTCATTTGTATAATACTTTTTTCTTGTCTTTTGGGATGGTTCATTCTATCAATGTATATTATACTAAAACTGAAAATATTATATCATCACGGTACATTAAAGAAAAGTTTTCTTCAGCAAGTGTAATTTTTGTTCAGCAAACTTGAAAAAAAAGTCAACATAATAGCAAATTTGAAGAGAATGCAAATGTACTTCCATACACACTATATTAGCTTAATCATGGCATGTAACTACTTATTGTAGCAAAGAAAACATCAATTCTGTTTATTAATATGCTAAGCCATTTGTGACGAAAAAGATGATGAACAGGTTAAGGAAACTCCTTGAATCAAATGAATAGTTTGCCAGCATAGGGCCAGTGTCTAGGTTTACTTTCCAAATTCTTATCTCACTAGAGTCATAAATTTGAGTTATTATTACAACTACAAACAACACTTCAATTTTTATTTCAGTTACTTGATGGCATTAAAACAAGCAATAACAGTAATGAAGCTTAATGTTGTATCAAGTTAAAATCATATCACTATACCAGCCATAATGGTTAAATGAGATAGAGAAGACCTTAAAAAATTACCTTTAATTTCACATCATTACACCATTTCAATAATCATGATTTAGTTAAAACTGTATGAATGAGTAAATTATCAATCAACTGTTTCAAAATGACTATGCTCAAAGACAAAACTATGAAAATATGTTTAAGAATTAAAACTTACAGTTATCTCTTTTCGAAGGAAATATTTCAAGTAAAATTCTATTTATTCATGAGTTATCCCCCTTATAACCTTTTGTTATTTCTTTTTCTTTTTTACATCTGAAAACTTTTGGAAATATGACTTAATGTTTCAAAGATTCTTGAAATTGAATATAATGAATTTTTAGTAGTTTGAATTCTTTATTATAGCCATAAGCTTGGTACATATTTTGTAATGTGACCAAAAAAAAAAGATTTTTTTTTGGATGAATTTATCTATGTTTTTCCAGGGATGTATAATACACATATTATACGTCCCTGGTTTTTCTTAATAAATAATTCTCATCATTCTGGTTTTTTTCCTCTCAAATTTTACACAATACTTACATATCATTTCTGATTTTAAGAAAAGAAAATTCTTTCAAAGAAATCTTTACAACTTTAAATGAAAGTAATATAAAAAAATCAAGAAAATAATGCATTGATTAAGCTGTCCTGTATCAATCATTACATATTGTACCAAATGAATAGAGCTGAAAGTATAACAAAAAAAATGACTGGCTATTGTGTCGCTTAACACTGTAACCAGTTTTCTAAAAAATTAGATTTTGGCTAATCAAAATTTAGAGCCAGAGCTAGCCCTGAAAAATACTAAAATATTTCATGTGGAATATCTTGGCAAAGTACTCATATAAGTTCATGGGGTTTCTTTTTTGACACTCATTATAAGGAGGGAAAACAGCTGAAACTTTCAAAACCATCATATTTTTATTTTTAAAAAGTGGTTAAGCGTCGCTACCTTTAATTAAATTAACTAATATAATTTCAGTCTCTATCAAGACAATGACGGTGTGACAATGGTCACTCAGGACATTTAAGGTATATAAATAACTACAAGGATGCCCTTTTACATGTGACTACGCAATAAGCCTACCAGTAATTGAAACACATGCTCCACTAAAGCTTGCACGGCACTGCTGTCATTATTGTTGTAATTTGCAATTATGATAAGACATATTTAAGAAAGATGTCAGAATTATAATTGCGATGGATTGAAAGACAAAGTGTTAAAATACCATTTTTCCTTTTCCTCCATATGATGAAAGACACTATCACAAGGCCAACAGCAATTATTGTGCCCGCTCCCACGCGTGTAGCCAAGGTCGAAGCCATCTTCTTTCTTTTTGTCGTCTGCAGTTGTCGTAAAATTTGAGGTAATCAGAAAGATGTAAGCAATGTGATGATTTTTGTAATTCACCATAGGAAAGTACGAGAAACATTACGAACTGCTTTAATTTGATAATTTGGATTAGAGTTTTTGGAAACCTTCAATAATATATATGACAGAATTTGTATTTGTTGACGTAAAATCCGATGTACCACAAAGTAGACTACTTCCTGTTTTTATACATGTGGAACCATGAAACTTGAAAGTCACGAATAGGGATCACTATTGAACCGTGTGCCTATGTTTAGCAAAACGACTATACGGTGCCGTTCATAGGTTGAGCGGTGTTTAATGTAACACCATATTTTATCGATCTCTCAACAAAAATCCGAAATGCCATTCATGAAAGGAAGAGCCGCTATGCGGCGAACATTGAGATACCTACAGTCAAAACCGTTATTCCTGAAGGAAGAAGTAAAGGTGTTGACAGTGCACTATAACAACGGACAGAAAGCCAGTAAAGGCGCATAGTATGTGATTTTACTTCCAACCAGACACACACCGGAATATGTTTTGTCTTTACCAGTTTACTATTTGTCTAGAACGACTTTTTATATTGGTCTCGATCTCGAGAGTTGATGAATGTTGAGACTTACTATCACGTCGAGAAAAACCACAAATTTACGTATAATGCATAAACTTGCCGTCTATAAGCCAATTAGGATACGGATTTGTTACTAAAATAGCCGGAATCACTTAAAACTTGATTATTTATTTATATTTGGTCAAAATTGCATTTATTCAGCCGGGAAACATCAGGAAACCGTAAAGTTAAATTATTTACATGTGGGAAAGTATCGAAAATAGATAAAATAATTCTGACATATATGGTCTATGAAGATAGTACAGTTGCTACAGTGGTGGGTTACATCAAGTTTCTAAATATCTAGCACTTTCAGTAAACAGCATTAAGAAAAAAAATATCATGTCATAAACAAATGCAACTTATAATTATATATTACAAAAGTAACTGTTAAATGCATTTCAGTTATTTCCAGTAACAAATCCATATCCCAACTGGTGTTTGAGAGACCATATTGTATGCAAATTTGAGTTTATCTCCAACTTGATTATGGTATGATACTGTCCTTCTGTATCACTAGAATATGAAGTGATACAAAATTGTTTTGCCTTGTATGTTTTTAGTATTGAAATCATGTGCAGATATCTCCTCTTCCAATTCCCAACACCAATGCTAAGTTTCAAAAACTGTTACAATATGCTAAATGTGAAATGCTATATGCAAAATGCTTAATTTGAAAGGTTTTGACAATGAAGTACATAGAGATTTATTTGGGATATTCAAAACAACAAGGATTCACAAACATTCATAGCAGCTGTAAAGCATTCAGCATTTCCAATAACAAGAGTCTGTTTCATAAACAGCATTTCATATAAAGCATTCATCATGTTGTACAGGCTTTCCAGATTTTAGATAGGCTTTACACCATTACATGAGGTGTTTTCTGGAAGAGTTATCGACCTTTGACATGTATGACATTTTGTTCAAAGATCTCTTCTCAAAGTTTGTTTTAACTTATATGGTTTATCATCACTGTTTTCCCAATGACATTTTGATTTCACAGTTTTTGAAGATTTGTTGTCCTTTGTTCTTTTACTACATTTTAAACTTGCCCAGTGAAAATAACCCCTCAGTTTTCAACTGAAATCATGAAAACTCTTAAGCCTTATCAGAATAATGGGAGTTGAACTTCATTTTCTTAGTTATATTTTCCAACAGTACAAATTACACACAGGTGTTAAGTCAGGGCTGAGGCTTGTTAAAGAACACACAGGTACTTGTTTTTATAAGTCTATTGTATAGTTTGTTATTTTTAAATGCTATTGAAATTGAGTCCACAAGTACCCGTGACAGAACATACTGAATAATGAAATTAATATGTGTCCTATTTTTTTCCCAAATCTTTCAGAGAATATCTTGTCCTATATAATGTATTCTTTGGTTTAGTTGGCAGATATCTTTTCACTTCACATAACTTTTTTCTATACTTACAGTGATTTTGTATTTTGGCATCTACCTCAACTGCAGTATTGTAATCCTGCAGTGCAGATAGTCACTTTCAAGAACCTGACCCCATCTCCATTCTTCCAGTTTTATTTCGGTGAGTATAAGGTTCAGTTTGATGATTGTATAGGAAGCAAAAGCCTAATGTATTTTGTCATGTTTAGTGGAATATTGTTTACCTGACCATAGAATTTTATCAAACTTTTGTTAGTACTGTAGTATTATACTTTGTCCCTTGTTAATTTTATCGATATCTTGTAGTACATGTGCAATGTGAGTTGAATATATTCCTGATTGTTGATTTGCTAACAAACTTTGTGGATATAATGTGTTCTTATTGTTAAAGAAATAGAACTAGTTGCTATTCCATCCTGTAATTAAAATGCTTTCAATTTTATTTTCATTCTGGGAATCTCTCACTAATGTTTTTTTTAAAGATAATGGAGAGACAATGCTGGTGGATCTAGATTCTGTATCCCGAGAAGATATAATGAGCCACTTGCAGAGGACCATATGTAAATCTGTGTAAGTTTCCTTACTGGCGTTAAAGGGTAATTTCATTAGGCTGTTGAGAACATGTTGACAAGAAACATTGTTGTCAATATTTAAGACAACAGGGACCCTGTCTATGTACATAACAAAATGTAACAGAATAAACTAGTAATTTCACTTCCTCTGTTAAGGATTCAGCCAGGGACCTCTACCTTATCAGTCTTTCCTGAGTTGTGTGGTTCGATGCTCCTTACCCATGGCGGTTTGTGTTTCACAGGAAGCTGAGAAACAGAGCTGTCTGTGCTGTCATAATTGTGTCCTTGGGAAAGGCTTTTTTGCCTTAATTACTCTGGACAGCATGTGATGGGCCTCCCCTATGTTATTCAGTGAGCTGGCTTCTACAAGGAGACCCACCTCTAAATGACCTGGGCAGTGCGCAGGTTGATGAACTCTGCTAACTAACTGATCAGCAACTGAGTAGTATATTGTGTGTGAATCTAGAAGTCCATCAGAGTGTGAATAATTGAAATGATCTGCTTTATAGTATCTTTTTTCAGCTCAATGACTGTCTTTAGAGGGTCTTAACACTGGTGTTATTTTTCATACTCTGAAGAGAAATGGCATCATGCAAGTAGTATTATGATCAGTACATTGGTGACCATCTGTATGCTACAGGCTCTAGTATGTTTGAAAATATTATAGGTGGTCACCGCTGAAGAAAGGTTAATTTTCCAATAGAACAGAAGAGTATGAATCTCAGTTTGTCTATATTCCTAATTGAATACTAAATTCCATTGACTTCAGGAAAACAGTTAATTAGTAATTACATAATTAATGAAGGAAATTGTTACCTAATCAAAATGAGATATTGCTTATTTTAAATAAGTGTTCTCCTGGTCAAACTGGACCCTCAATTGTCCAATACACTTAAGAAAACAAGAAAAACATGAGAGTAATGCCTTTTTATGAGAGAAAGTTTGCCTATATTTTATGAGGTGAGCTGTGAAAATAATAACTTTTGATATTTTCACTCACTTTTAACAAATCCTAGCTCACAGCTGGTCATTGTGTTAGATTAGTCAAATATCCTGTTTGAAGGCTGTCCAGATTTAATGCACACTACCTTGAAGATTCTCCAATAGGCGACATATTTCTAGTTTGTTTATCTCCCTTTCAGTGCACAAAATACCTTGTAAATTCTTTCCCTTATTGTGACTAATGTGTTAAACAAAATAATAATAAAAATTTAATACTATGGTAATGTAAAGGAAACTTGTGTCTCACCATGATTTAGTGATCGTGATGAATCTGAACTATATTATTACATTGTTAGGTGTTTTGTTAAAGTAAAAATTATTTGAAGGTTTGTATCCCAGATAAAGAACTACATTACCAGGTGGAGTAGTGATGCTAATAAAGCAGTTTAATAAACAGAATTAGAAAATTTATTCTGGAATCAATGTAAGGTGAGAAAAATGTAACAAATAAAACATTCTTCTCTCTTGATAAAAATAATTGTATTTCATCTCATTGGCTAGAAATACCAAAGTTTCTACCCAACTTGACAAAATATATAACTGTCATTCATCAACAAACATGGAATATCCTGTATATATTTATATAGTTTGTCACCCTGTTTCAACGGATCACTTAAAGTTAGAGAAATACTTCCCCTTTATGACTTCAAGAAACAAAATTTTTCTCAGAGGAAACAGCCATCTGGTTGAAGAGAATGCTCTTTGCTACCATTAAATGAAAATTGATGAAAACCCCTGAACCCAGGTTTGTTTAGAACTGTATTTTACTCGTTCCTTTAGCAGGTTGACATGTTCAGCCAACTACTTCACATTTGTCTCTCTCTCCTACACTCAAATTAAGATTTGGGAGTGATTCAAATAGAATGCTCTACACAATTGTGATTTTGTTCTACGGAGAGAAAAATGTCATAGTTCATTAGCCTAAGGTCTAAGGTTGTGTTCATTTGGTTCGTTCAATGAAATTTAAATGGCCATCTACATGTAAACATTTTCTATTGATAGGAATATCCTGGAGAAAGACAGGAAGGAGCAGAAGGCCAAAGACAACCAGGCCAACTTTGGCTACTCATGCTCACGATGGTGTATCTGTGAGATGCCTGGTCAGGTTCCCTGTCCTGGTTGGGTAACCCTTCCTAAAGAAATGCGTGGCAAGCATAAGAATAAGGAAAGTGACTGACTTTGACACGGAAATTAGCCGGGGCAGTGATATAATGGCAGTGTTTTATCTTCCATGAGGATTGTACTGTGCCGATCAACTGAAAGTCTTCATTGAGAATCTATTTGTTTGGATCTCAGATGGGATCATTCTTCACTGCACAAGACACTGGTCAATGATTTTTGTAGATGTGATCACGAGAGACTGATGTTTGTGTGCGAGGTCTTTAATTTACTATTGGATGTCTACGACAGGCTGGTTGACAGATTATATAAATTTGTTCTCATTGTAATAGATTATGTAGATAATAAAGAAAATGCATCATAATTTGTGTTTATATGATAATTACACAAAGGATATCAGAGAACTTTATCAGAAAAAAAAACCTAAAAAACTCCACCTCCTTATATACCCGACACTGTCGAAGGAATTTTTGAAACAAGAGTATTGGTGAAATTGATGAGTGCTGTATGAAAACAACTTTATTGGAATTCTGTTTATAAGGCTTTGGTGTTGTAGAAATTGATTTTGGTACAGTGCACATCACCTAAGTGTAACAAATGAATCCACCCTATTCCGCTATCCTAGCAAAGTTACACTTCATACACAAAATTTTAAAAGGCATTAAGAAAACATTGTAATTCAGGATTTGTATGCCCTGATGCTGTATTCTGATCTCCCAGAGTTACTTCCCTTCTTTTCACTTTTTTAGTATTTCTGGTGTAACCGATCACATTTTCTGAACCGAGGCTCAATCACATGACTCCTCTTGGCCAAACATTGTTTTATGTTACAAAGTTTCTCAAGAAAATTTCTCAGTGTAGAAATAAGGATGACAAGGGATTCCAACTATCTGAGCCTACCTTGTATACTCTGTTCAGTTCAAGATAGTTTAAGGTCTGAAGTTAAAACACCGCGACATTAATATTCTGTTATATTGCATACTTTGTGAAGATACATTAATTTTTAAAAACATACTGAGATTGATTTGAACAGTTGTAACACTTCACGTATTAAGTGATATATGAAACATTGATGGCTAAATAATGTGCAGAACCAATAATAATCAATTCTATTCAATTTGAAGATTCTGATTAAAAGCACAGTTACACGAGATCATTTACAAGATGTTCATTATCATATCATCTGAAGGTGGCTTAAAATTGTCAATCTGACTGCAAAGAAGTGGGCTTTAAAGTAATTGACGATGGAACATTTTAATGAAAGCATGGACTTTGACCAAGCACGTATCATGTGGACCTATATTCTATTGCTACTTTGATGAATATGAATCTGTAATTTATTGGTAGATGGCTATTCGTAACTTAATATTCAGTACAATTATATGTGCTAAAACAGATTATGTTTATTTGTTATTTGGTATAAACAAGGAGTTTTTTTTATCATTTTCAGAGGAAAATTCAATTTTACTGTATCATATTACATATGTATTTTTCAAAAACATCTAAGTATGCTAATCATGCCAGATGAAGTGGTATATGTGTAGATTGATAATGTGGGGACAACTGTCTTGATAGCCCCTAGTTGATACTCTGATTACATTGATCCTTGGTTGATGAATCTTTTATGAATACCATCAGCCATTCTGGGCTAAATGTACACGTTTGAAGAATAAACACCAGACACAACAAAATCCACATGTTGGTAGTAAATATTATAATTTATTGCACATATTAACATTCCTTGCAAAATGGTTTTGTACATGAAGGATGTGTAATGGTATCACTGTCCTACACCAGTTAATGAGGAAAAAATTTGGGGAGGGGCAATGGGAGAAAGGAGAAGAGGGAGGGAGTCGTACATTTTTTGGCTTTACGATTTACATTCCATACAATCACACACTTTTGGTAAAAATATATTACCCCTGAATATAAAATGTACCTTGGAAATTACTTGTATAACCATCCAATCATTTATAAACTTCCACCATCTTTGTGGGAAAGCACTCGTCCAAAAAGAAGAAAGAAAAAGAGAAAAAACCCTGAAAATTCCCATCTTAACAATGAAAAAAACATTTTAATTCCTCACACATAATAACAATGCGAGACAATTGTAGAAACTTCATCAAATCTAGATCTTGTTTAGATACAAAAAAAAATTTTGATTTAAAATTACCAAAAATATTGCTTACTTGTGTGTACGACTTGCCTAAACATTGATTTACAATTAACCTGGTATTTCTCTGGTGTTTTCCCATCTAAAAAGATATGTTGGTAATATTGGGAGATTTCAAATGCAAAACTGGCTGATGACTGATATTCCAACATTCAGTATATGAAATAATTATTCTGTGTGTAAAATATATCACAGAAATCTGTTTACACTTTTGTTAGTACATGTATCATGTTTGATGCTGAGGAACTTCAAAAAATTTATACAGAAAACCACAAACTGGTAAAAAAAATAACGGTGAAGAGAACCTTTCTGCCATGAAATGCAGATGTCCTTATCATAAGACAACACGTAACTACATGGGGAAACAAGAGAAAAATACCAAAATAGCAGATAGGCACATACTTGGGAGATAGTTAAGGTATTTTGATGTTGTGAGTAGTAATCTGGGTTAAATTATTCAATGGGTGGGACAATGTCAATGCCTGTATATGATGGACATATTAAATTATCAGTAACAGCCAACCTTCTTACAGACATAGAGTAGGACTGCATCAAAAATACACCACAATAGAAAGGTGTTGGCTACATAAAGTCTTTCACTGGAACATCTTAGTGAAATTATCATAGTTATCTGCTTTTGAGTATAACTTCATCTATAAAAAAAATCATACACCTCAAAATTCAAAGAAAACATTTTGATTTGAATCTCCTTGCCTACAGCACTAGTTCAAATACATTCAAATTTACTGGAAAGAAGAGGGTGGAAAGCATGATTTACACATGTACAAATTTAAGGAGTGTTTCCATATGGGAAAAAACACTAATAATATGTATATTGATCTCACATTACTTCTCAGTAGTCTAGACACACACAGACACATGCACACCTTTTGTAAATAACTGAGCTTTGGGCTTTAAAAATGGTAAATTATGGAGATATCATTACATAAAAAATGTGGCTTTTTTGGTCCTGTGAGACTCGCTTGGTTACCATAGTGATTATCACAGCAAGGGAAATTTGTAGATTCATACTTGTCACATTTGTCATGTCTCCCTCTACAGCCAAGGAGCGACTCGCAATGCAGATTATCTTGGCCACTTCTTGGTTGTCATGGTAATGACAGACAAGTAACCATGACGACAGCATACCCGATATTTTGGGTATCACTACAGGCCAGCCACGCTTGGTTGACATTTTATCAATATATATATAATATATATACATAGGCAATGGAATGAACTTGTAAGGATCTCGACACAACTGTGGCAAGTTACAAAACAAGGATAAAAATGCTAACATGATATTATACAATGAAGTTTTGTTGATATCATCCACTGGGGAGGTAACCAAATACATGTATATTTATACAAAATACAGGCTTACAGAAACATATCCCTCAAAAGATTTCAACCTTTCAAATACATGTACTATGATGATTCATATATAAATCTGAGATACTCCTCAGAAAAAATGTTTTTTGGCAAGAACTAAAATAATATTTTTGGAAAACATGATAGATAAAAAGTATTTGGAGTAGGAAAATAAGTGTATCGATTAGAAAAGAGAAGTGAATGCTGCTCTTACATAGAGATCGTGATTCTATACAAAGGGGACATATAGAATCTGTCCAGATCCTACCCATGGGTGCTACATGGATGCTATTAAACACCCCACTTTCCAGGCAGATGAAGTGGCACTACAGGGTACCTTATTTACAGATTAAATGTGGCACAGAAAAACACCCCTCTTTCTAGGCAGTTGAAGTGGTAGAATCCCTCTTTATACTGACAAAATGTAGGATGCTTAATCATGTCACCTATCTACAAACAGATGTTGTGAGTTACAGTTATGAGGCCACACAAGCACCATCATACCTTGTGGTATGTTTTAAAACATGAATTAAGCGGTAACAACATGATTGATGGAGAATGAAATGATACTGAATAGGTACAGTATTTACATGTTTGAAGGAGATGCATACAGTCCCCCGGGTACACCACAGGCACACAACCTCTCATAAAAGCACAGGTTTCCAGGCCACCTAATGGGGCCCCATCCTTACACACTTACACTTGGGTATCACCAACCAACCTAAGGAAACTAGGGAAAAGACATGTAATGCATAGGTCATGGCAAACAAAGTTCCTTCTTGATAACACTCATTTGTAGTTTTCTTTCTTTGTACCAATCCATAATTTATATACACTACTCAATTACATGCACCATTTTCTACTTGGTGGCATTCTAACGTGACGTCTATGAGTTGTAATAGCAGGTTGTGTTTCATTAAATGGCTAGAGAAATAAATTGTATTGATGCTATGCCACTAAGCATCTGAATCAGGGGGGAAAAACTCAAAACATTACTTGATTATGCTTCAGTTAAAATAAAAACGATGTACTAAACATGTAAAAACAATACAATAAACCTATATATCACCCAACCAGAGCCACTACACACAAAATACACAACATGTATATAAATTACAACCTTTGAGCAAATTGAAGGTCAAAACACAACAGAAAAAACAACCTATCTCTGTAAAACATTACAACAAAAAAGGAACTAACTTCTATACAACCAAAACATCACAATCGGGAAATATCTGCTATAAAAATCTCTGAACACGCAAGTTGTTGGGCAGTGGATAAGCAAAAATGTGGGCAGATAATTAAAGGGAGGTAATTTTATATGCCATGGACAAATAGCTTTTTTGTCATAAATAAGGTCTTGGATGATTTTTAATATCAAGAACAATATCTATTACATTTATTTTTATTCCTGTTTGCATGTACTTAACTAGGTAATCATCCTTCTTCAGCTAAAAAAGCACTTTGATGTTGTGTCAATTCCCTTTTGCAAACAACATTGACTGAAGTTGCAGGCTATGTTAGGTAACCTCTTTCTCCCCTGATGAATATGCTATCTTCATAATACTTATATAAAATGATAAATTAAAGAACTAAGAGATTCTCTTTAAAACAAGGATAAATAAATTAAAAGCTTTATAATGACTTTGGAATGTGATTAACTTTCTACTAGACTTGCATTAAGCCTTCCATGGCATTCCATACCTAGGTAATATGGTCTCGGTAACATTGGCAGTTTCAAGCATGTATCCTTCTTTGGTCTTTAAAATCTGTACTCAGGTCTACAGCATGATGATAAGTCAGGACAAAACTTGACGTAAACAATCAAATTAGTATGGGTCAGAACTAAGTCAAACTAAGTGTAGAGATTTCAATACATCACACCATGATCAATAATAAACATACGCTCCAAACAACATATCAAATATCAGGATATATTGATAAACTTTTATAATACAAAATCAGTTTTCTAACCTCAATAAACTTTAAAGTAACTGAAACAGTGAAAACTTGACTTTCCATCTATAAATGTGTCTCTTACAATGTCATAACTCTCTGAATACATATAAATCTTCTTACTTTCTTCAATATATAAATGATGTTTTCCTGATTATGTAAATCTATGTACATAAAAATTTTGTAATCTACATATCATACAGGTAAGCAAAGAAAATTTTAAAGCTCATCAAGAGAAATATTGAAGTTTCAAGCATTCCGTATCTAAAACATCTGAAAACAAATATGAGATCTAACAATGGTAGCTCTCTGGCACTTCTTTGCTGTTCCAGAACCAAATGATGAGCCAGTTCAGGAGGATCTCTGTGGGTAGGACATGTTATCTGGAAAGTCCAGCATCCTCTATATTCAATAACTAAATTTAAATAAATGGACAGTTTCAATGGAGTTTTGATTTAGGCCCGTTTATAAAGCTACTAAGAAATGGCTTCTTGACAAATTTCTGAATTTACAGAGGCAATTAATAGAAAGACATTAGTACTGTAAAGCAATCATGTGTTATGGGTCTTATTACATGTAGATAAATCATTAACAATCAAATCTGCCTTTGACACCTCTGACCTGGCGATTGGCTAACCTTTGACCTTGGACTGGTTGACCTTGACATAGGACTGGCTAAATCCAGGTTATCACAGTAGACGATAAGGTGTGAGGACCCATGTGATACCGTCACAACACAAAACAGTGGATTATCAACAGTTTTGTGTAATTAAAAAAGTAATAATAAAACAAAAAAGTCGGAAAAAAATAACACTGAAATGGTCGACCAATCTAAGTCTTCACCCTCACAATGCTTCAAACAGTGACCTTCTAAAAGAGGAATAAGAAAGTTAACAACCATACGTTGATGCTGTTGTACAGAATTTTCATAATTCCTTCAACTGTTCACATTAAAACATGTGACCATCTGTCACATAAGATGTGTCTATTGATCACACAAAATCTGTGTCTGTTACTCACATTTTATACACAAGACTATTGATCACACTAGAAGAGTGTCTATCAATCACACAAAAAGGTGCGTCTTTTCTGTACTTGTCATCATCTGGCTTGTAAAAACAATTCAGGGACAGGACACACAAGCCACAAGCCACAAGCCAGCGGAAAACATGCCACCACTACCAGAGTGAGGCTGTTGCAGAATGCCACGTCCTACATGGTAACCATGGAAACGCAACACACTTGTTCCCAAGCACCACATCCAACTTCCTCTTCCAATGGTGGATGTGTTTGTCACAAAGAAATGGAGATGAACTGCTGATACAGTCTCCCAGTGTGCTTTGACCTTGGTCTCAGGACCTTGTGTTAACATGACGATAGGTGACATGGCGGGCAGTAGCATGAGCTACAGGCTTCCTGCCATACCCCCACACGTCTTGTCTTTCAGGGATACGCCCAATCAGCTGGGCAGCCTTACATTCATATCTACTCACTTTCACTGTCATTTAATGTTTCGGTCGGAGTTGTTTCTTCTGGCCTGGAAAAGGTAGATGACCAGAGTAAGTCTTTGATAAGTAATTTGTGAAGATTCTGATTAAAACTAGAGGTTGTTAGTCTGCTTTACAATGTTAGGTATGATTTTCTAATTGAGCTGAAGTTTTTAGTTGGCTTTGCATGGTGTTAGGTATACAGGACTTTGGTGAAGGTAAATTCATTGGTTAATCTGTATTTGTTAGTCAATGTTTCAGTGTTAGTTAATGATTTATGGAAAACTTCACTTGTCTACTTGTAAATATTAGTTTGTCACCAGGTGTTATGTACGACGATTTTGGATGATTCACCTTCTGGTGAAGTAGTGGTTCTTATTCAAATTTTCAGTGTTAGGTACAATGATATTGTTCAGAGAGATTCACTCGTTTATTGTAGTTAGTAGTCTGTGTTTCCTGATGTTAGTACAACAATATTGTGGTGATACATGATACACATGAAGTTGTTAGCTAAGACCACAGTGTTAGATGACCTTATGGAGTATCGTATTAGATGATGATGTATGTCTCAACTCCTTCAGCAGTCGATGTTCTTACTGTATGAATCAAACCTTGCTGGTTGGTTAAAGCCATGAGGTGCCTGTTTGATCAGAAAGAAGCACTGAATGGTTTAAGACACAGATATGATGGCTATGGTTTTTTCTTAAGTCTACATAACAAATGTTTGGATTAAAAAACACATTGACAAGATAAAACCATGCTCACATGACAGCCAAAATGACCTGTTGCCTTATCCTGCCAGAAGACTAAAACAATCACAAGGAGCCGTAGAAAAACCATGGAGAGTTCAAAGAATTTATTATGTATAAAACTCAAAAGAAATTTGGAGAAGAGGAAAAAGAGATGTTTAATTCAACAGAATGAACCTTTCGGTGCATTGTGAGGGTGAGCTGTTCCAGAAGTTCTGTCTTGGGTTTGTAAGTTAAAATGGTGTCAATGGTAGGGCAACTAAAACTATGCTATTTTCAATGACTTTATATGGGAAACAACAATGAGCTGGAAGGACTGGGAATTAATGTGTTTTTTGGTAGGTAGAAATGAGAATAAGCTAGAACAACTGGGAATTAATGTGTTCTTCAGTAGGTAGAAATGAGAATGAGCTGATAGGGCAGGGAATGAATGTGTTCTTTGGTAGTTAGAAATGAGAATGAGCTAAAAGGGGAGGGAATGTGTTTCTATGGTAAGTAGAAATGATGACATCATATTTTTAAGTATCTGTAAGAGAACAATTATTAACCATTCAGTCCAAAAAAAATTATGTAATGCAACATTCTAATCTGAAACCACAAGTCCTACATACAATGTACATGGTTTTTACATTCCATTTTGCTACATACAACATATTTCTGAAATCTATGGTTGACTCACTGTAGCAATCTAAAAGCTTTCTAGTAGCCTATATTCATTCAGGAGAAATGCTGGGCGATGCACAGCCAAGTAAACATAAGTTTATTACAGAAACAAAAACACAACAACCACAACAGGCAAATCACACACTTCACACCAGACTTGATCAATCACATGCCATTAGCATATGCATGAAACCTGTTTCAAGGTCAAAGGTCATTCCAATCTCCAAGACAAAATTTCTTATTTCTTTTCAATGAAATTAGAACTTTTCATTAAAATAAAATTCTTATGTAATGTGTTTTCACAACACTTGTATTGTTAATATAGCAATTCATGTAGTCATTATGTTCAAAATTTTAACCAAAAGTTAAATCTTTTAAAAATCATTCAAGACTAAATTTCTTCAGATACTGTTTCTATATCTAATCTTGACAAAAGCATCAATCATACGGGTACTTTCAGCCATAGTCAGCTGAAGGGTATAATTGGCACATATAAATTGACTAAGTAAGCATACAATGTAAAAACCTTATGGTGACAAAATACAAACAGATTACAGGATGGGTTAGCCTTTTGTTAGTAAACAACTTCCCTTGGAAGTCAGGGAACGAAAGGGGAAACCACTCTGTACTGGAATCCTTAAGGACACAAGTCAGGATCTTCAATGGAATATCTACTGATGTAATGATTTTCATCTTTCACGGACTAATTTCATTAACAATGAAAATCAATATTTTATCTAGACAGAAAAATTCACAAAATAAAAACCCATTTCTGTTGGCAAGCCATTTTCAATGTAGAACACAAGTTTTATTGAAAAGTGAATTTGGAGACTCTGACTGTGTACATCTATCTTAAGTTCATGATCAGGGATAAATTAGTATGCTAAGTTTATCACAACAAACGCTCATCTCATACAGATTAGCTGGCCATGAAGTCGAGGTGAGTATACAGCAGGGCTAACAGTTCACAACAAGCATCTCAAATGATGCAATCTTATAAGGATTAATGAGCTTAAAAACGTCAAACATGAATACCGATTGTAAATCCTGTATGTACACAACACTCTGGCCAGATCCAGCTGGCTTGCATTGTTATTATATACACACATGTATCTATCTATATACACATAATTTACAAGTTAAACTTTCATGAATATATTAAAAAAAATTGATAATGACAATGATAACAATAATAATCATACAATGAAAGGCTTCCCACGTCTCCCTATCATTACATGAACGACCCACTCAGTACAAACTGCCAGTCATTCACCTGAAGGGGTGGAAGGACAGTTTGATAATACTAGTAATTTGATCTGTATATCACATGATCCGTACAGAATTTGATCATAAGCTTTATTTGGTCTTAATGGAAATGAGGCAAGAACCTCACAATGATAAACAAGTTTGAATGAAAAAAGACGTGTGAATGAAATCACGGAGAGAAACTTCCTGTCCTCAATAGAGTGTTAAGTGTAAAATGATATCCTAGGAAAGGCCTTTGCTATAAGGTAGTGACATATACCGTTTGTTCTTCACTTGGTTCATCATATTTATCTGTCCGTCTACGGGTCAACTCTCCCGCATCTGAATACTGATTATAGTCCCTCATTTCCTCGGGTTTATAACCCCCGAGGTGTTCATAGTGTGGGTGTTGGGCTAACATGCGTGCTGCACGCTCAAGCTCCTCCTGTGTCATATCATTGGCCTCTGCTATCTCACGTTGTAATGTACGAGCATCTACATATTGATGTAGACCTTCCTCTGCCAGAACCTGAAACAGATCATTATTTCCTTCCTAAGCAAATGAGTCCTGATGTTATCATGATGCTACAATTGAAAAGCTTGGGTGTTGGATAACCTGGCACCATTACCACATTACTTAGCATTAAGAGAACTCTGACGTACAACAAATTCAACATCATAATGGCTTGCATCCACATATATGTATTATAAGTTATGATTTTTTGTGATTTTTTACCAGATATGATCGTAAATTTCACAAATTTTGGTTATCAGGCTTATGAAACATCACACGTTTCATATTTTTCTAGACACTTGGTAAAACAAAGTTGAACTCAAAATATACAATTACATATTTTTTATTTGGAATTTTAATTCAGAAAAGACCAATTTACCAGAATTCTATAAATAAATGTAATACAATTTCTGTTGAATATGTTACCTTTTCTACGAGATTTTCAGCTCTACCACGGTGCCGTGGTGAGGTGGATCTTTGCTGGGACATCACATGATCGGGAATTATGAGAGGTCCTCGCTCCTCTGTTCGAGAGTATGGTCCTAGTTGGGAGTCTTGTTGGAGTGCAGAGTCACTAGCTCGGTGCACTTGCTGCCGGGGAGAGTCCAGATTTTGTCCTTCAATAATGGAGTTGGAGCGTATAAAGATTTGCCGTGGGTGTGCTGAAGATAAACCATGCAACATGCAGGTTAGAGGTTACAGGTGTTAGTGATTGTAGGAGAGAGACTGTCTTACTTTATTTGGTAAGAGGTTACAGGTGTCACTTTGTCTGGTATGGGGTTACAGGTGTTAGTGACTGAGGGAGAGAGATTGTCATACTTTATCTGATTACAGGTGTTAATGATTGAAGGTGAGAGACTGTTTTATTTTATCTGGTAAGAGGTTACAGGTGTTACTTTATCTGGTTAGAGGTTACAGGTGTTACTTTATCTGGTTAGGGGTTACAGGTGTTACTTTATCTGGTTAGGGGTTACAGGTGTTACTTTATCTGGCAAGAGGTTACAGGTGTTAGTGATTGAAGGAGAGAGTGTTTTACTTTATCTGGTTTGAGGTTACAGGTGTTACTTTATCTGGTTAGAGGTTACAGGTGTTAGTGATTGAAGGAGAGAGACTGTCTTACTTTATCTGGTAAGAGGTTACGTGTGTTTCTTTATCTGGTTAGAGGTTACAGGTGTTAGTGATTGAAGAAGAGAGACTGTCATACTTTATCTGGTAAGAGGTTACAGGTGTTACTTTATCTGGTTAGAGGTTACAGGTATTTATGATTGAAGGAGAGGGACTGTCATACTTTATCTGGTTAGAGGTTACAGGTATTTATGATTGAAGGAGAGGGACTGTCATACTTTATCTGGTTAGAGGTTACAGGTGTTAGTGATTGAATGAGAGGGACTATCATACTTTATCTGGTTAGAGGTTACAGGTGTTACTTTATCTGGTTAGAGGTTACAGGTGTCAGTGATTGAAGGAGAGAGTGTTTTACTTTATCTGGTTAGAGGTTACAGGTGTCAGTGATTGAAGGAGAGAGTGTTTTACTTTATCTGGTTAGAGGTTACAGGTGTTACTTTATCTGGTTAGAGGTTACAGGTGTTACTTTATCTGGTTAGAGGTTACAGGTGTTGGTGATTGAAGGAGAGAGTGTTTTACTTTATCTGGTTAGAGGTTACAGGTGTTGATTGACTTTATCTGGTTAGAGGTTACAGGTGTCAGTGATTGAAGGAGAGAGTGTTTATCTGGTTACAGGGTTTGATTGAATGAGGTGTTACTTTATCTGGTTAGAGGTTACAGGTGTTGGTGATTGAAGGAGAGAGTGTTTTACTTTATCTGGTTAGAGGTTACAGGTGTTACTTTATCTGGTTAGAGGTTACAGGTGTTGGTGATT